CGACTGTGACTTGATCCTGACACATTCATTCAATGACAAGTGTAACACGTGATTTATCGTAGAATCTCAAAATTTAAAGTTCTCATTCATAAATATCATTTAAGTTTGTCTATATATAATATTTGTGTCTTAACGATACTTTTGTTAGGAGAAAAAGTAAACTTATTGTTTAGGTTTCATAAAAATAATAGAGAAAATTATAAACAAATATTTTGACAATATATGAAATCTTTTTTTATGATGAATCATGGTAAAAAATCTCGTAGATCTCTTGTAATCTTAAATTTGATAAATTAATTTTTATTATAAAATAATATAGATGTCATTTTAAAAAGTATCACATGACCTTCACATCATTTGGGATAAAATCTATCTTGACAAGCCACCAATATAAAATCTCATCTAGAGTGTCGAAGCTATCCGTAAGGGTTATTCTCAAAAATGGACACAGATCGAATTTCGGTCAACCTAACTCGACTAAAAAATTATACACCCTCCACCTAACTTGATTTTTTGATATAAAATCTGAACCTAGCCTGACCCTACCCGAAATAATATATTTATTAAAAAAATATTATTTTTATTCAATAAAAACATGGATTTAATTGAATATATATATAGTGAGAGAGTGTGGTATTATTGTAATTATTCTTAAATATATAAGGTAAAATTATAGTTTTTTGGTCGGGTCGGGTCAACTATTTTTACCTTAAACCTGAACCCGACCCAACTCGAACATAACATCTAAAACAACTAACTCAAATCCAAACTTTTTTTAAAAAAGTCGATCCAATCAGGTCGGATCAAAACCGTCAAGTTCAAGTTCCATACCTAACCCTAGTTACCCCAAAAATGACTGGCGATGTTGTTGTTTGGCTTTTTTTTTTCTTTAGGGTAAAGTACAAATTTAGTAATTGAACTTTCTCTCCTATTTCATTCAGTGTAATTTAAATATTGTCAATTTCCTCTCAAAACTTAATGCATTGGTTTTTTTGTTACTTAACTGTTTCCTCACTAATAACGTTATAATGTGGTTATTTTATTTTATTTTAATAGGTAAATAGTAGGTTTAATCATTGAATTTTACTCTCTATCCTATTTCACTCACTATATTTTTATTTATTTTCAATTTAATCACTGAACTTTATGAATTAGATTTTTTGCCACTCCTATGTTAACAACAAAAAAGTCACGTCATAACACCTGTCGCACTGTTTTTCGCCCGGGTGGGGGGAAATTGTATGACTTAGGGGTTTTTATTTGAAAAGATTTTGAAATGTGAGGAGTCGCCACCAATCATTTTAAGGTGCGATTGGGACACCATAAAATCGAGTGATTTTAATAAAATATTTTATTTTAATAAAAATGCAAAGTTTAGGGTCTATGAAAACCAGAAAATAATTTCGAAGTCAGTTACATATGAGAAAGGATTAGCACCCCCACTACCCAAAATTGGTACCTAGTTGATTACCCTATATTTAGAATTGAAAATTTTGAGTTAGAACTTTATCTAATTTAAAAATCATCACAGATGCAAGTTGAAAATGACATTTGTTTATTAAAGCCAATAGCATTCGCCCCTTAGCATGAATGCGAGAGATAAATTATTGTACCCAATAACTGAACATTTCCTCGATATTTTAGAAATCATGATGATATCTTGAAAAGGATGTCGACCTATTTCGGGAATCATCAATAGTCACCCCCTGAGCATACTTGTGGGAGATATACTACTGACTCCTTAACAAGTGAACATTGTTTTAGGTTTTAAAATAAGATGCAATCAAACAATTTATTATTAACCCTAATTAAACTAAGGGTAGATTAAGGCTTTCTCTATCTTAAAGTGTCAAATTATTAAATAACCTAGAGACATAAACCTAAAATATGTAGGCTCTAATATTAATCCTACTTGATTTTAACCAGTTATTGAATCGAATAATCGATATGGTCCCTTGAGCATTTAGGTGAGGGACAACTCAAATTACTCCTCAAATTAAAGGGCCTAGATTGAAATCTAACCTAAAGTAGAGGCTCTAATTGATAACGTATTTAATTATGTTAATTTAAAAATTCTAATTAAAAGTTTAAGGACAATGTACAAGGAAACTAAAGTCCAAAGACCTAAATGTAACACTTTAAAGTTTAAGGTCAAAATCTATAATACCTAAAGTTGAAGGACTACCCAATAAATTAAGGCTCAAATAAATATCGTAAGTATCTATTAAAAATTAAGAGATTAAATTAGGTGAGCTTTAAAATTAATTGATGATTAACCATTTAAGGATTCAAACAATCGACTCGAGTAATCGAGCATTTTATGCCAAAACTCGAATCAAATTGTTCCCTAATTAAACCTAAGGTGAGACCCTAATTACTAAATCAAATTTGGTATTAAAAGATCCTAATCTAAGGACAATTTCTAAGAACTAATTGAATAAAAAAAATTAGAAATACAAATTCAAATAACAACCCAATTAAATAAATTAAAATTAAGAAATAAACAAACAAAAAAATTAAATTAAAATAAAAAATAAATATGCAAGGATTAAATAACATTAGCATCAAACTATAGGGATTAAAAAATAAATTGAACATGCAATTATAAGGGACCAAATTTAAATAAATTAAAAATTAAGCATGCAAAACAAAAAATAAACTCAGGACTTAAGTGCAAAAACACGCTAAAATTAGGGGGACTAAATGGTGATTTTCTATTTTTAATAAGCTAGATATACATTAATAAATAAAAAATGAAAAAATTACACGATTAGGCCAACAAGATTTTAAAAAAATTAAATGGTCACTGCAGGTGACCAGAATACAAAAACACGCTAAAACTATGAGGACTAAGAAGCAAATATACCAACAATACATAACACACATAAAAAAGGGGAAATAACGAAATGAGTACAAATAAAGAAGGGTAAATAACAGATTTGGTCCTCACAGGTGACCAAAGTGAAAAAACACAACTAACTTTGGGGACTTAAACGCTATTTCACCCTAAACTTCCTTTATAATTTTTTTTCTTCATTTTAACCGATTTAAAAAAAACTAAAAAACTCTCTCAAATCTCCCTTCTCCCTCTTGGTTGTCCCTTCGACTCCATCTCGACCGCCGTTTCGGCCACCACACACGGTGGCCGGAGTTTCTAAACTAAACCCAAAACAACCATATTTGCTCCAATCTACACTCCTAAGCTCGAATCTGAGGTTAAAAATCACCAAATAGCGCTTTTAAGTACTCCAAAAATCCTCTAAACGCTTCGACTTCCCCCACTTCAACTACTACGAAGATGAACCGACCCCTCGGTTCGACTATCCCTATTAGGTAACCCTTTAACTTCCTCATTTTTTGTATATATATATATATATATATATATATATATATATCGAAACTAACAAAGGGAAAAAGGTTTTACTTTTAAGGTTTTTTTTATTGCTTTATGAAAAACAAGGGGATCCATTTTACAACTGAGTTTTTCGAGTTTTATACCTGACTTATACAGAGATTTTTTCAATAAAAAAATGAAACATAATCCATCTACCTTCTGATATCCACTGTTTGTGATGATTTACATTTTTAATACCCCAGATTTTTTGGGATTTATTGAAATTTCTGATGGATTTCTTTGGCTAGTTTCGACGGTGGTGACAATCTGTGCGGCTGGATGTGGGAAGAACTCGGTTGGCGGTTGTGGAGCTCATCTTGGCGGCGGCGGCGATTGATGATAAGATTTGTTAGGGTTAGGGTTAGTTTAGGCTAGGTTTTTGGTTTTGGGCCTGAGTTTGGGTCTTGGTTTGGGTTCGGGTTTCAGTTTGGGCCCGCATATTTTGGGTTGTTGTTAGGGATTAAGTTTGGGTTTGGTTACTAGGTTTGTAATAAATATTTAATAATATTTTATTTATTTGTAATAATATATATGTATATATATATATATATAATATAATATAATATATAATAGTTGAAAAATTGTGATTACACCCGTTAGAGAGGAAACGACTGAGTGACAAAAAAACATAATGTATTAAGTTCAGTGAAGGAATTGAAAAGATTTAAAATACAATGAGTGAAATATGATAGATGATAAAATATAATTACCAAATTTGTAATTTACCCTTTTCTTTAGTACAGAATTGGGGAAAGTTGTATTGCAATTTGCATCCCTCATTTGAGGCTCGCCCACATTGGGCAGTCGTGGGAGCATTTTGATGTTATCAGTTTTGTGAAGGTCTACTATTCATCTCTCCATCATCCAGAACGTATATATCTACGTATAAACAGAGACGGAGCCATGTGTATGCTGGTTTATAATTAAAAAATATATAGGGAAAAGCATGTATTTAGACCTTTAAATTTTAGTTTATTTTGATTTTGCTATCTTAAATTTTAATTTATTTTGATTTTGTTCCTCTCATTTTATAATGTTAGATATACCTTGCCCCTTAAATTAAAATTCTGGCTCCATCTCTACACATAAATACACCATATTCTACGGGTAAATCTACGTGCAAATAGTAATTATCTGTCTCCTAATCTGTTTATTTGATAGCAGTAAATTTAGCTCAGTTGATTAACAAATGATATTATTGTATTTACCCTATAGCTTACCAGGAGCCAGGAGGTAATAAATATTTACCCCCTTTTGCCTTTAGGAATATTAAAAACGACAATTAAGGCTCCACCGCCTTTGGAGCACGTGGGGCCTACGTTGATTAATTATTCCTAAGCCTCTATCACCTCACAGCTCTGTCACATTACCATTTACGAAACGTCTCATCCATATGCCACGTTGCTGGAATGCTTCGAACGTGGCTACCTTTCAAGCAGCCTTCAAATATTGTAACAATAACGGGCACCGTGAGTCCAACACTACCCCTCACATTTATTCATTTTTAACCGCTGTAAAGAGCGCAAACATACAAAAACAGAGCTCTAGAATTTACCCCTCCGCAGTTAAAGCACCCATTTCACCGTCATCTTCTACGCTATATAAAGCAACCAAACAGAGCACCAGTATTTTACATACGATAATTGACAATGATCGGAGCAAATCTTCGTTCTGATCGAACGGTCCTCGTTCCACCGTGGCCGAGCTACGATGATAATACCACGGGAGAAGTTTACTCTCCCCTCAAATATGATTCTGCGGGCAGCCCGTTTTACATCCAGGAAGAATTAGCTGAATTACAACGTTACTTGCCGTCGAACGAACCGGATTTCCGATTGGATTCCGAGCTCCCGGGTCTGAGAAACCCGGATTCTCCGGTTAATGCTAGCTCGTGCGACCATTTCAGGATGTTCGAGTTCAAAGTAAGGAGATGTGCACGTGGCAAGTCACACGACTGGGTTGAATGTCCTTACGCTCATCCTGGTGAAAAAGCTCGCCGGAGAGACCCGATGAAGTATAATTACTCTTGTAATCCTTGCGCTGATTTTAGGAAAGGGAGCTGCTGGAAGGGTGACTCTTGCGAGTTCGCTCATGGCGTTTTTGAGTGCTGGTTACATCCGGATCGTTACCGGACTCAATTATGCAAAGACGGGTTCGGTTGTAAGCGTCGTGTTTGTTTCTTCGCTCACTCTCCAGACCAGCTCAGGGTCGTGGAATCAGCCGATCCATATGATGGTTCCCGTCCACCTTCTCGTGCAAAAACGCTACCTTTTTCGCCTCCGGTGAGTCCTCTTGTTGAGTCATCACCGCCTGTTTCGCCTATGTCCGGGTCACTGAGTCGATCAGCTTACATGAACGAGATGGTAGCTTCTTTAAGGAACTTGAAACTTTGTAGTCAGCCTTTAACTTCTTGGAACACACAAGTAGGGTGCTATTCTCCTCCTCCTCCTCCTGGGTTCGGGTCTCCGAGAGCGGCGGCGATCCGACCTGGCTTCTGTAGCCTTCCTAATACTCCTACTCCAGGGATTGGGTACTCGGACATATGGGATAAAGCGTGTGAAGAAGAGCCAGTGGCAGAGCGAGTCGAGTCTGGGAGGAATATACGTGCCATGATGTTCGAGAAACTGAGTAAAGAGAATTCCTTGGTCAGGGATTGATTCAGGTGAACATCTGGTCGGTTTTGTTGATTTCTGATTGATTTTTGAAAATTATTCTCCTTGTTAAAAGCATCTGAGAAGAAAATATGGAGGATGGAGGATTTGATGTAAATCTTTTGTTAATTACTTTTCTTACAAGTGATACGAGGATGGAGGATTTGATGTAAATCTCAACATTTGGGGACCGACGATGTAATTTACTCTTTTAATAATCCATAGTAATGAAGAGATAAGCTTTTGTTCGAGTTGCTTCGTTCACGGTGGGACATAGCTTCTAAAAGAGAAAGCTAGAAGTCTCTAGTCTTCACTAGCTTTGGTGAAATAAAATGGCCCATGTAGAGGGATGATAAAGACTATAACTACATTTTTATTTGATCAAACTTGATTAAATCGGCATGAAATTAACTTAGATGAATTTTGCATGAATGCTGTACGACAAACTCATGAATGCTACCTTGCAAATGGGCTTGTAATGGAGTCGGTTGCGTACTGATGGAATGATTTTGAGATGAATTGTATGATGATGATACGATATCAATCTCTTTGCTGGACCCGTCATTTGTTTACCTATTGTGAGTCAATTCCATGGCCGAGCACTGGTTCAACTCACTCAACACACTGCTCATCGTTGCTCTGTGCAACGATTTAGGTCTAGTGCAAGCCATTGCTACTTCTAAAGCTTTGGAGACCGAGTTCTGATCGAATTTGCTGTACAGTCTTCGATCAACTATGCTTCTTTATATCACTCTTTTTCGAGATTAGTTACAACGTCTGGGGTGTACTATTTGCACTCTTCGTCGTTGGGGTGTACTATTTGCACTCTTCGCCGTCAGGACAGAGAAACGTCTCGACAACTTGGTGACTCTACTAGAGAATTTAAAAAAAGAGAGTCGAACTATCAATTTATTAATTAGTTGTCTTTGCAATAAATAATAAATTTGTTTTGATTTTGTTTTAATTATTTTTATTATTATACTAATTTTTGTTTTTATGTGTGTACAGATTTAATGTTGGATCATTAGAATATAACAATATGCTGTATATTATTTTTTATTTTATGCTTTTTCTCATCCATTGTGCACTGCATTCATAACATGAGCTAAAATCCCGCTTATCCTATTTAAGTGAATGAGAAACTATTCTCTCGTGTGATTTTCACTTCCGTATGGATAAGAGACAATTCTTTGAGCTCACACCTTATGTTCCTCGTGTGGTTTTCGCAATGGTGGGGCATGCACATAAAAATCCCTGTTAGACTAGTACCAAAAACATTTTATGGTAAGAGCGTCAATAGAAGCAGTCACAAGGGAGAGAATTTTTATGAAGCTCAAGCTCGTTTTTGAAAAGACGAAAACATGAAACTGAGTATAGAGGTTGAAGCCATGGTTGATGATTTTCAAAAGGTCAGTTGAACCTTCAAAGATGTTGGACTCGAGAATACTCCTGAAGAATGGATGATAGAAATCATTAAATTGAAGAGTGGTGTTGGCTATTGGAAAAACATACATGAGGAACAAACAAAGAAATTCTCCTATGACTTTTAAATTGCCGAAGAAACATACAATTCAACCATCACCAATTTGGAGAAATGTCAAGCTGAAAACCAGATATTGAAGAAGGATATAGCCAGTATGAAACTTCATATCTGATCTATCAATGTGAGATTAATGCTGAATTAAAATTCACTATAACTCAAAACCACACACTGATAAAAATGGTAGATGACTATGGAGATCTGGTACAAAAACTTCTTGAACATAAAGGTTCTCTGATAAAGGAAAATGAGTAATATTGTCTACAACTTCAAGAAATGGCAGGTAATATTCAAGAAAAAGAAAATGACAAAGAAAGTTGTTGCCCAAGCAAGCAAGGTAGCTCATAAGCGGGTAAACCTAGCTGGTTTCACAAGGGAACTGAAGCAAAATGACGATATGATTCTGGAGCATAAATGGAAATTAACTTGACTTTTTAAGGAAATAGAGAAAATAGGAGAAAAACAATCCTTTATATGAAATGATCCTTTGGATGTATTGAAAAAACCCTTTTTGTGTTCAATGGAAGCTGTTTTAAGATAATTACTCTTGAATTATAATCTTTCATACATGCATTTACATTTATATTTATATTTATATTTGTATTCATGCTTTGCATAACATCACATGAGAATAATCAGTGAAAGATTTTGAAATCAGGAGCTCTGAAAATCAAGGGCAGGTCTTTAAAAGATTAAAAGCAATGAATGGAATATTAGCTCGAGTTGGAAAGATTGAAAGAATCCAAGAACAACTTGTGGAAATCCAACAAGAAATGCTTGAAGAAACAAGAAGGTTCCAAGCTGAGTCTAGAAACAGATGTTTAAGATGATGAGTATGATGGTTACTCTATTATATTGCAAAAAATGTTAGAAGACCCTATGAAACATGAAAAGTTGAAAGTCTTGGGAAAAAGTCTGGATTTCAATGATATGATGACAAATGACCAATAACATGTTGTTGAATATAGAGATCTAACTCATTTTCATGAATCAGGAAATATGACAGATAACATGGACATCAAAGTTGGTTCAAAGAAGAGAAACATGGAACAAGTCCCATTGAAAATGGATAAATAGGGCAAGAAAGAAAAAAAGGATGACACATCTCATTCCAATTCCAGTGTCGTATTCAGAGTTGTTACTCTTTCTTTTTGAAAGTGGTCTTGTGACACATATCCCTCATAGTACCTATATGCATCCAAATTGGAAAAATATCAAGAATCCATGCAATTATCACTCTGGAGATTTTGGTCATTCTACAGAAAGTTGCAAAATGCTAAAATTAAAAGTTCAAGACCTCATAACATAAGAGTTGTTATGTTTCGAAAAAAAGAAACCTAAGCTTCTCAGAAACTCAAAGCTGGTTGAAAAATAAAAATTTTCAAGTCATAATCTTTCTCAAAACGATGGTCAAAAGTCAAACATTAAAAGCAAACATTTTCAGGAAAGCAATAGTAAGGAAACAAACATATCATGGGAATCTTTACCCTGTTTTCCTTCAATCTCCTACAACAAGTTATATGCCAAATTACACAAAGCTTAGCTTATTGCTCCATGTTTGGCTAAACGTTTGGTATCACTTTACCCAAGATGGTATAATAAAAAGGTCTTTTGTGAGTATCATGCTGGAATTCGAGGACACTTCATCGAAAATTGTGGCAACTTCAAACGACGAGTTCAAGATCTTCTGGCTCATGGAATTATAAAAATGGATGCTGACAGTCAATCCATTATGATTAAACATTTGGGAGTCAACCCCAAGAATAAAGTTGATAGTGTCAAAAAAATGGAGGACAATGCAAAGCCAAGGAGGATGAAGTATGTATGGTAGATTTAACTCTCGATAATTCTCTCAAGCTAAAAAATATGCAAAAATAAGAAATGAAAAAGCAAAAGGTAATCTGAGACTGACCTATAGGTTTAAAAAGAAATAAGGTAGATATAACCTTGGAGACACCTATATCAGATCTTTTGAAATCAAGAGAAGCAGGGGAAATTTAATGAATGCTACTCCAAGTACAGCTGCAAGAAACATCCAGAATCAAGATACAACTATTGCCACCAAAGAAATTGGGTCTGAACTTGAAACTGAGCCTAATTACCAGTCAGGAAAGAGGATGGTATGATTTGATCAAGAAATAGCTCAGGAGAAAATAGAGATTTGTATATCTAAAAGCTTATCCAAAGAAGCTACCCAAGAAATGATCAAGAAATGGGGTACAAATATAGACAGATATCCATAATGTGGCAGTGGAAGTTGTTATTTACCACTATTGTATCTTTCATTTTGTAACATCCTGTTTGAACATGTTTTTGTTCCTTTCTCCTCCTTTTGAAATAAAAGTATGCTACTTTTAAGGTTATGAGCATTGAATCAATTTTGCAATCTTGAAGTTCTTTGAGTATCATTAGATTAAAAGATCTTTACAATTAGAGTTATACATCTTTGACAAAAGAATCAAGATTGAAAACCAGAAAAAAGGACCTTGACCTTACCTCAGATGAAATATACCCAAACACTACCCTCCTACAAAAATGAGAGAGCTTTCTCCAATGTAAGGAATTAGACAAAAGGCTTGGTATTGATATTTAGAAGCATACAACGTGGGGCATCTTTGTAAGAAATTACAAAGCTGACTAGATTACTTTTCTATTAATGAGGTTCAACAATGAAAATTTGACAAATCTAGTTTAAAGTTAGTTGCTTGTAAATTGAAATTTAGTGATGAGATTTTCTGAATTTCACCAAACACATAGACTATAACAAGTTCTCATTAAAGAGTAAGAGTCATATATGCAGAAAAGCTATCCCTTTAAAGCAATTGGTTAATAGCCCTGACTTTATGGACAAGTTTCAATTAGCCCAATGATGGCTAATGTCAATAAAGCTGAATTCAGCCAGCTAAAATGACAAAAGAAGTCGTTATAAGAGAGTGAAATAATACCTGTTATAGTCTATTTTCACACATATACACACATGAATCTCATTATTAAATCGATGTTTTCTTAATGCTTTGGGTATAATCAAAGATTTCAGAGAATTGAAATGGAGGTACTTTAGAAGGTCTAGTAATTGTTATGCTAGATTGTGTCATTTTGTATGCATCCGGTTAAAGATACCAAGTCCAGAAAATGAGTCATGTGACAATGTTCACAAAGAGCGAGAGAGGAGTGAAATCTTCACTAAGATGTAACCATAGAAAATAGGGAAACCAACATGAAACTAACCTCTCAATCTTGATACTTGTCAAAGAGCTATAACTCTGAAATAGTAAAAGTTGTTGATTCTTTTGATATTCTTTGAATTCATGCTTATAATTTGATTCTATTGTGAACCTTTAAGGAGCAATATTTTGCAAAATTCTTTCATTCTTTGATAAAGAAATGAGGAAGAACATTTTTAAACAGGATGGTCTCAAATGTAAAAAGAGCTCCTGAAGCAAGTCGATGAGCAAGGCCAGAATGATGAAATATTTCATTTCTTGAAAGTAAGTGGCCTGAGAAATCAAAAGTCTGGGAAATTGGACTTATAATATTCCCTGTGTGACTACCAATCAAGGAAAAGGTGATTACCTTATTTGGAAGAGGCACATATCTCAAACATTTCTGTCAAAAGGATTGGTCATCTCTTAAGTTTGTGACAACATGAAAAGAATCCCTTAAGTTACTTAAACAACATTGATGTTTAGTAACACTGGAATGAGAGAATTC